CAAAAATAACTAGTATTAGAATTAAAAACCTGTGATGCATTCAATTGTTTTCCATAATTCAAAATTGTTTATCATGAGGTTTGTTCCAACCAGCATTTCGAGATCGTTTCGAAATTGCACTCGAATCGGTTTTCTTGCACTTTGTTAGCATGCGCGGACTTCGAATAGTTTCGTGACGGTGCAAAAAGTATCAACGTTGGAACGCTTTGTGGATTGTTTTCAGGACTATCAAAAGTGTCAAGCGTGCGTGTATTGATCGGTTTTTTGTTTTTGTTTAGAATTTCATAACATAACCCTATTATTTTTGTTTGCAATTTGCAATAATAATAATTATTATTCTTGACATAGAGAATCAGAATCCAGTAATTGTTGGTAAATGTTGTTTCAACTGTATACTCACTAACTCACTTACCTATCCTCTCTTTTATGATCCTGTTATGCGTAGTTTCCTGTTATTTCATTGCAGTGGTAAAATCTTTGAATATTATTTTATAAATAAAAAATTAATTAAAATTTCTGAACGATTTACTCCACACAAACTCACAAGCAAAAGTATAACGCACACGTATTCGAATTCGTAAAAAATAACCAAGACAGAAGCATCAGCCGGACGCCGGACCAGAATCAGCTGTTAAAAATCGATAATCCCTGCCAATATGCTTTAATGCTCAATTTGGAATATGTACCGAAATTACCGTTCTGAAATCGTAACAACGATCCCAAGGTAGTTTGGTACGCAAATAGGATCGTCCGATAACCGTCAAATCTCGGTTGGAACACAACTGAATTACTGCGCACGAGCGTGATCGTTCGGTGACGGTTCTGCGACGGGTTGGAACAAACCTATGGTATCATGAAAATTGCTTTTTTTTTCAAATAATAGATTAAATTTTTCAAAAATAATCATAATTTTTTTAAAAAAGTTGAAAAGTTTAGGAATATACCCAGTGGTTAACTTTAGCCGTGAATAACTTTTGAAAGAGTAGGTTTATCGAAAAATTGTAAGAGATCTTTTTTGTAGAGCGTTCAGTTCTGTATAAGAATATGTGATTGTCATGTCCGCAAGATCGAGAGAACAAGATCGAGAGAAAAAAAATATTTGCGAAAAGTGGCAAATTCCTATGTAATTTAAATTGGAAATGAATCGTCTTTGGGGCAAGGTTTAATGTGAATATTAAGAGTATACAATGGTCTGTTATTTTTTTTAGACAATAAACTAAAAATTTAGAGGGCGTCGTGAGAGAAATGATCAACTTGGTAAATAACGGACACCCTAATATTATACATTTATATAAAATGGAACAATTTTGTTAACTGACTTTACACTTAATTAACATTGTTTTTAAGATTAATATTCTTTTTATGCATATTTCTGACGACTGAAGTAAAACGGGTTTATATTTCTCATCATGTTGGGTTTTCACCGTTTTTACAGTTTCAAAAGGTTATATCTATTTTATCAATTGTCGTTCATAGATATACAAATATTTGCCAATAATACCTTTGAACAAATAATATAATTGAACTAAATCTTGATAATGTTATAAAATTATTTGAAATATTCATGTTTTCCTAAAGTGTCTTTTAATTGAAAAGTAAAGTCAAAAAGTTACTTTTCTTTATCAAAACGCCTTCCTTGAATTTCTATTTTCTTTATTGTTGAAGTATTTACACAAACAGGGTTTAATTGAACGTTTCAACAAATGCAAATAAAATATTGTAAATATATTATACAAATTATAATATTAACATTTAAACTGGACAATGAAAGTCCATAAAAATAGTGAATTTAGTTCATAACTGTCAGGAGTACTGTATTACAATATGTTTCTTAAAGAAATTTAAGGTTTTAGAATTGCAATTCATTCATTCATCGAAGAGTACCTAAACACCTGATATTAATAAGAATAATAATATGCAAGGTACATGTTGTAAAATTGTTATTGGGTTCAGACATTATTAGAGAAGTCAATTTTTATTACAATTACCTACTTTACTAAATTTGATATTTATGGTAATCCATCGGGTGATCCTCAATAACTGTTATTTTCGTACCTAGAATGACAGGTGATTCTATTTTTTATATACATTTTACTGGTATATATCACTCTATATTTATGGTATGATGAGATGAAGGTTCCTATTCTCAAACATAATAAGCTTTATCAAATTTTAAAATATAAACTTTCTTTTACATAATGCTGTAAAATCCAAACCGTTTTAATTATTTTTGCCATTTTGCAAGAAGCTGACATCTGTTACTTGACGACTAACTTTCTACAATATCTCGTTGCAACAGAAAATTGATAAATTTATGGATAACGTATGATCTCGGCTATGTTTAGTTTTATGTTAAAAATAGATGCAGTTTTTCTCAAATTACTTAAAATCGGCTTGTCCAAAATGGTTTAAATTTGGCATGTGTGTTTCCCAAACGTAGACCTTTAAAAAATCTATTTACGACTTCGCTATAAAATCAACAGGGTAGCCAATATTTGAACAGTTTAAAATTTGCATGGGATTTCCTATGTTTCTAACGACGATGCAAGCACCACCCGGTATAATAAGTATATAATTTTTTACTTTTAACTCTATTTTCATGATTTTTTTTAGCAAATTGTATATAAATCTATCATCTTTAATTCATAAACTCAGTTTTTTATAAACTTTAGTACTTGGCTTATTATAAGTGTTAATTGACGGTTTTTTTTACCCTAACACCCTATGCAATAATTTCGTGAGTAACTTTTTCTAAAATATTATTTTTGGTCCAGAACCATGTCTCCTGAGCATTTTATTTTTTGATTTATATGAACACATGCCTTGGCTAATTTTTAGCAGCGAAATGAAATTGCCACTAACAAATTGTAATTTTTTCAACTATAATCATTATTTTTATGATGTTACATATATTTTAATATCACGAAGTGGCTTTAGTGACTATTGTCGAAATGTCATATCGACACCGATTAGAACTCGAACGAATATTAAAATTTAAAAAACGTTAAAAAGTAACGATACAGGTTTGGTTTTAATAAATATTAGTAACACCAACAGAACTAAGGATTTAGAAGAAAAAAAAATAACTGTAATAACTAAAACTGTACTAACAAACAAAAAACTTCTCAAAAAAACTCTTAAAAAATACTCATACTGTTAATGAGGCTGCAAATACAGGGTGGTCCAAACTGTATTCCGGAAACTTCGGCAACATGTTCTTTAGGTAAAAATAAGTAAAGAAGTTCGTATAAATGTATGTCTTAAAATGCTTGCTTTCAGAGATACAGGGTGCAGAAGTTTCATATTTATTCCAATTTTTTCTAAATCATTTCTGAAGTAACGTCAATATTTGGATGAAAATTGGTGTCTGGGAGCTTTTTGATGAGAAATTTGATTTTGGTGTCAATATGACTTCTACTAGTAGAGGGCACCACCTACATGTGTTTCAACTGTTTGAAGCGTAATAACTTTTTGTCCGTACCTGTATAAAACTACCGAGTAAAAAAATATACATCTCTGTGACTTTTTAAGTAAAACATATCTCTTTGTAAAAATCGCTACGAGAAACCGTTCTTAAGATATTTAGAATGGAAATAGACAATACATGTCGTTATTAACGAAAAAAATAATCATGTTGACTAATGATGACTGAAATAATAAATTTAGGAAATTTTTATTTTTTAAAATTAATCATAAATTTTTCTGCAAAAAAATGATGATAAAACAGTTTCTGTTGAACTTTTGGCACAAAAACATTTCAAATTTGTGATTTCAGGCTAATAACTATTTAGTCAACATGTTAATTTATGTCAATGATGACCGGTATTGATAATTTCGATTCCAAATATCTCGAAAACCATTACTCGTAGCGATTTTTACCAAGAGACCTATTTCACGTAAAAAACGTCGCGAATGTATATTTTTTTACTCAGTAGTTTTATACAGGTACGGGCAAAAAGTTATTACTCTTCAAACCAGTTAAAAAATATATAGGTGGCGCCCTCTACTAATAGGAGCCATATTGACATCAAAATCAAATTTCTCATGTCAAAAAACTCCCAGATACCATTTTTCATCCAAATATTGATGTTATTTCAGAAATTATTGGGAAAAAATCTCTCGAAATAAAAATGAAACTTCTACACCCTGTATCTCCGAAACTAAGCATTTTAGGACATACATTTATACGAACTTTTTTACATATTTTTATTTGCAGAATATGCTGCCGAAGTTTCCGGAATACAGTTCGGACCACCCTGTATATTGTGTTATGTTTTTTTCATTCTTCTTCAAGGACCAAGCGAATATTCATAATTTCGGCCATCTTCAACAAGATCAGTAACTTTTGCACAATCTTCAACACTATGAACCATATTTAATTGTACACAACAATAATCACCAAAGCCATCTCGTCATTATGAAGACTAACATCAAAAAATATCGATAATTGAAAAAATTGCAAAATGTTTGTGGCAAGTTCATATTGCTCTTAAAAATTAACCAAGGCATAGGTATATTGACATGAGTCAAAAAACAAAATATTCGGGAAACATGGATGATGATTTTTTTTTAATCTCTTGGGTTTAGTTTTTGAATTGTGGTATTGGTAAAAGTTGGTAATATTTTCGAATAAAACCGAGAGTAGAAGAATAAAGTTTCCCAATTTTTTAAATTGATTTAAAAAATAAACTAAACATATTTGAATTACCAACCGTCTTTATATCTTTTTTAAGTGCTCTATTCCTGGAATTGGTGATTTTACTCATTTCAAAGGATGTAATAGAGGAAGTATAATAATTTATAGAAAATTAAACTAAAACAAATAGATAAACAAAAAAAATGCGAATAATTTTGAGTGGAAATCAAAATATTTTAAAAAGAATGTTTCAATCACAAATATTTCTGAAGAAATCGGTGAAAGTTCCGAACATGTTAAATAATTTAACAAGTTACATCTTTTGAACTTCAATTGTATTAAGTAATAGTGAAAATAAAGTCACCTTTAAGTATCAGCTTGTTATTCCCATTCGTCATTCTATCACGGCTCATGAGAAAAAAGTAACATAGGGTTGTTCACAAATCACAGCAATACTTATGTCTTCGTTTATTTCTGTCACTATAACTATAACTTCTAACGAATTTTATCACAACGACACTTATATTCCTCAGTTTCTTTCCAGAATATCACAGATACTTTGAGTAGTTTCTAATTTTTTCTTCACTTGAATTCGTTGTAAGTACTGAATTCCAATTCGACCACACGCACCAAAGGCCAAAAACAGACAGTCGTCGTTCGTGATGGTAGCGCTCGTCTGTTGTGAGAGCGTCAGACAGACACATACAGCAGGATCGGGCAGGCCTTGCCGACTGAAGTCCGGGTTGACATGATTGTTTTTGTTGTAAGCGGCGGCGTCGGCCGTCGAGGGCGGCGCGGGGCGGGAGGGGCGGCTGGCGCCAGCTGTCTGGACAAGTGTGAGAGTTAACAGCAGTCCCGCTGAGAAGGAATTTGTTGGGTCGTCGGCTAGGCGGCAGGTGTAGTGGATGGAGGAGGCCTGCGATGCAACGCGGAGACTCGGATCGGCCTAATCTGGGCAGGCAGTGGCTGCGACGGACGGACGGATATAATGGAAAGGTCGGTCGTACGAGTGGTCAGGTGCGGTGAGGCATTTTTTGGATCACCGGGAGGAGGCCTTGAAAGAGATGGGTTCTAGATAATTGGGACGTACTTGAAAGGAATTATCGGATGAAGAAAGCGAGAAGAAATTTAATGCTAATATTGTTATGATTGTAGTGTATCATTATTTGTAAACTGTGAAAACTCGGGGCACGGAACTAAATGTTCACTTTTTTATGGATCCATCGTGACAATAACTTCATATTCAATTGACGAATATATGTAATTTCTTTTTCTTGTGTTTCTTGATTGTTAATAAGTATTTTAAGAAAATTAGGACAACTACCGAGGAAAATTGGTCTATACTATTAGAAAAATAATTATTTTGTATGAACTCAAGAAAATAAATGACGAAAAAACGACATAATTTACAGCGATTCGGATGCAGAGAGTCAGATTCCTCATCTGGACTGGCAGTGAATACACAATGAACGGATATGATGGTAATGTCGATCATGGAAGTGATTAGGAGCTCAGAGCTGTGAGGCATTTTTGATCGCCAAGAGGAGGCTTTCAAAAGGAGGAAAGAGGTAGTTTGTAGATAATTAGGACGTACTTGAAAGGAATTATCGGATGAGGAGAACCAGAAGAGTTTTCGGTTTACTTGGATGATTCAATAAAAAAATATTAAATTTGTAACTCTTACTCTTTTATATCATACATGCGTAAATATGAATTAAATTCTGACTGTTATGGTCGTCGTGTATCGTTGGTGAACTGTGAAAATTGAATATTCTTTTTATTTACTTATCAAGACAATAATTTAAGGCTCATCTTATATTATATTATAAATATCAAAAAACAGCAGGTTTAGTCGTGACTGACTCAGTTAAGAAAAAACTCAAAATTTAAGTGAGAATCCAGTCAATAATCCCTATACAGGCTAATAAAACTACTTTTTCAATTTGTCAAGCTTTCGAGAATTTTATTCCCATCAGGACAGGTTGAATGAGTCAAATAGCAAAACAACATCCTTTGCACAATAAGGCCTTAAAAACTAACATCATATGACATTGGAAACTCAAGGAAATTTCCTTTATAAAATATTAAAACACATATACATCTAAACGACTTTAAAAAAATATATTAAATTTTTACTAAACCTAATTGCTATAAGTTTGTTCAACCGACAAGGTCCTTGACAGTGATAGATGTGTCTGTCATTTTAATTTCAAAGTAGTTTATTTTATTTTACAAAGAAATAAGTTGGTACAATTGGAACGCATAGCAGGAAATTAATATATTTAAAATTTGACTGATAAGTGATTACTTCAAAATATTGTGAAAAAAAGCTGTATAAAACTGAAAAAATGTAATTGAGAATTTATTTATTAAAAAAAAACGGTATGTATTAATACAAAACAAACAAGAATAAAACACCACGTACCAAAAAAATAAAACTTATGTACAAATACAAATTTGTAATATTCCACAGGAATAAATTAAACAACATAAATAAAACAAATTATTTTATTAATAATAACACCAAATTTTATACCTTAAAGGTTGATTAATTAACTTTAATCTTAATTTTTTTAAACCAGTACTTTTCTGCAGTACCAAAATCCATTATTTACCTATTATGTGATGTCGATATTTTACAGCTACTCCAGTTTTTAGTATATGTTTAGTACGATCCTCGTACCATATACGAGATGCACTTATCTACGACGAGATGGTCGATACAAACTTTATTGATGGTAACTTTATTGGTGTATAAAGCTTTCTGCCTGGGCAGCGAGTATTAACTATAAACTGTTCTCTAGGTCTACAGTTAATTTTCCCTCGATTTTTCCACTACTTGACTTCAAAAGACACAAAACACACCTAATAACACAAATCAATATGCATCATCTTCCAAAACCCAGGGTCTTTGACATAAGTTGACACAAAATTATAACCTATAATTTAGCAAGACTTTGACAAGTCTCAAAAATCTAAGGGCGAGTTCATACGCATCGGCGTCCGTTTGTCGTTCATCGTTCCGTCAAACCAATAAAATTGAAATATGATCGGTCATTTTTGAAATAAATCAATAAAACTGGTTGAAAACAACGCATGACGGATTTAGATTTAAACCCATCCTAGTTAGCTTTGAAATATTAGAAACTTTTTTTAGTAAAATAAATAGATTGGTATGGGACGTCATCTGCTTTTCTTCTGTCATCGTCTGTCGAAATCTTACCTGAGAAAAAAACAGAGTATACATTGTTGTTTTAGGTTCGATCAAAAAGTGACTGATAGCTTTAGTAATTTTTTTTTTAAATAAACTATCTTCAGCACCACCTTGCGTAACTACCTTCTGATGCGTGTCAAATACTCGAAGCGAGTAATGGCAGTACTGGCGGTAGTAGTACTATTAATAAAAGACAATTATTGACGGCATAAACATTGACGAAAATTGGACTATATTGGAAAAGTAATGATTTTATGATGACTTTATACACTTACGATGACAATGACGGAAATTGACATAATTTACTAAGATTCAAATGCAGACAGTGCCTCATTTGGGTAGGTATTGTTTGCGATAAACGATAAAATGTTAAGAGTTATTTTTTATTGCCAAGAGGAGGTCTTGAAAGAAAAGGGAAATGTTTTCTATACAGTTAAGATGAACTTAAAACGAATTATTGGATGAGCTGAGCTAGAAGAAATTTAATGCTGATCTAAATAAATAATGATGAATGAGTTTTTGGCGTTTTGAGAAAAAGTAGAAAAAGGTGGCGTAAATAAATTTTGGCATTAAAACCAAAAATGGCATTTATTAAACAGAAAATAGTCTTTAAAAGATCTCAAATAGTTAAAAATACAGTTTAGTTTACGAATAGTTTTTTACATTCGTTTTGTTTATTATTTATTACATTTACGTAGTATACTGACACCTTATAGTGACACAGTGTTCCAGATACACTTGTCGGTATTTTCTCTCAGTTACTTATTCAAATACAACGAGGCTGGCTTATGTAGATATAAAATATGCAAAATAAATGCATTTTAGACTTATTTTTGCATATAAATAGACTTAATCGAACAGGTGTCTAAAACTGTGCCTGTTATGCTTGAGTGTACATACTGCGGAATTAAAAAATATTTATATATTCCTTCGAATCACTTACTGTTATCGATCAACTGATTAACACTTAATGGAGTTTAAACCACGTTTAAACATTTTTGTTGTACAGATACTTTGTGTACGAAGCCGCAATATTTGTTTATAATTTTTGTATAAAAATACTTGTTATTTTGTGGGTTTTTAAGTTTACTTTGAAAATTAAATAAATATACCGGAATATATGTATTTCATCAAAATAAATATTTAAACCATATGTTTGATTATCAGAAACTTATTAAAAAGCTAAATGAATTTATCAGCTTATATAAAAATCGAGGTAAATCTCGATCCGTAAATATTTTCAATAGAAATAAACAAAAATGTTCTGATTTTCTGATTGCTTCATTTAAGTAGGACACAATATATCACGTTTTAGTCTAGATAAAGTTTAAAAACTAATTATCTTCATTAAGGTATTATAAATATAAAAAAAAACAACTAGAAGGAAGTTTAATATATTGATACTGTAACGTTTTTAGTTCGTTACATGTCTTTTTTATATATAATATATGATGTCTGGCCTATCATCACCGGATTCCCTCTCGTTCAGGCCGGATAGTTTATTTGACGCGTAATTTTTACGTTCCCTAGTTGCCAACCCTGTTATCGTTCGACACAACCCTGTTATTGCTCTGAGGAGGCGCTGTCAACATCGTCTTCTGTCAACTGTCAAACGTCAACTGTCTCCGTGCTTAACCTCACTTTGTTTTGACGCTCTGTTGTATCCCAGCTTTTGTAAATGGTGATTATTTAAGTCTTGCTGTATAATTTGAATCAGCTGCTATTTCGAGGCTACAGGTAAAGATGAGTTATTACCTTTTATAGATTCGATATTATTATTGAATATTTTTACTTTATTTTTACTTTATTTTTACTATTATTCCAACTTGTATTTGTGTTTTGCTGGCACGTTGGCGTCCCTTTTCTTTTGTCCTCCAGAATGTCACATGGAAGAAAGGACATGTTGTTTATTATTTATTGAGCCCTCGGAAGTATTTCGAGGTAGGTTTATTTTGTTTATTAGACCTTGTTTGGTTTTAAACAAGAGTTTCATATTTTTAGGGTCCAAGATACGGACTGTGTCCAAGGTACGGACTGTGTCCAAGGTACGGAATATTTCCAAGGTACGGACTGTGTCCAAGGTACGGACTGTGTCCAAGGTACGGGTAATGCCTTATGTACCGACATTATCTTATGTACAGATGTCCTGTGGACGAGTGTCCCCAGTAAGAACGATTTTTTCTTACATCTAAGTGCCACAGCGTGGATGTAGCTTGAGTCCCATGCTGCTTCACTCCCATTTCTAAGCCTAGTCAGTAGCTACGGCTGTAAGGATTCATGGTGTCCTCAATCTGGCCCTTTGTTGTTTTGACCAACAGGATCGCCAACAGACAGTACAGAGATGCTAGACCACCTCACGCTGCTACTGTTTGAAGCAAGGTTACATAAAAGAACAGCTAAGTGTATATTTAAGTTCTAGTTTTACATTTAACATCTAAAACATTTTCAGTCTTAAACAATAACGTACATCTTAAGTAATATCGTACAGACTATGTTCAGTGGTTAGATGTTAAGAACATTCATGTCGATATAATCTTTAAAATATAATTTAGATCTTAGGTTTCATTGCATTACGTCTTGTAATGGTATTACTTTTATAGATATTATTGCACTATTTTAATAGATGGATAATCAAACATAGATTCTAGAATCTACAGGTTGTAACATCTTCGATTTAGCATCATATGGAATATATCAAATTAATTAAAGTAATGCTACATTTCATATTTTCTCTTAAACTTTACATGTCCTGTATTTTATCGTAGTTGTTTTCATTGATATTTAGTACGACTCTTACCACCACTTTCTTTGACATATAACCACTATATATTTACTAGAACTCTACAATGTCATGTATCAGCAAAGAACGTCATGAATAAATATAGTCATTAGTTTTAAGTATTATACAACTGTGTTTTCTTTCTCTGTACATGCCTGGCGCCCAATATCTATATATCTTTTGTTAATTATTACTGATTAATTTTCTCTCTAGTGAAATACCTTATCCACGACTGCTCTCCGATGAAAAGCTGCCGTTCGCAGTGGTAGTGGTTTAAAAAACGCTACAATACGTATATCTAACGTTAATAATTATTGTCATTTTGT